AAACATGCGGGGGAAAAAGTGGCAATCTCCCAGCTGGAATACTGCATGTGCTACTTTCCCAAGTTTGTTGTGCATGTGCAGCCCATTGATTGAATGGGCTCATGTGTAGCAAATGTGGGGAAAAATGCACGCAAAAGTCCACGTGATGCTACACATAGGGGTCTATTCACAAAGCTGCCGAAGGATCTGGCCGTAGCTTCGGCCGATCCTTCGGCTGGCTTCGGCCCCAGGACCCCTTCGGTTCAGGAGAACCGAGGGGGTGCTGTACGGGCTATTCACAATAGCCCGTCCAGCTCCCGATCATGGCCGAGCAGCTCAGTCGAGAGATTTTGGTATTGTGTACGAGTACCGATATTTATCTTTCGGTACTCGCCGATACCTAATACCGATACCAGTATTTCTGTTTGGCCAGCTCAGTGCTGATTGGCTGGGAAGCTGGCTTTCTGGCCAATCACGAAGCCGGGAGGCTGGTCATTACCCACCGCCCGGTTTCCTGATTGGCCAGTAAGCCGGCTCCATGCTGTTTGGCCGGCTTCCCAGCCAATCAGCATTGAGACGCTCGGCTTCCTGATTGCCCGGGAAGCTATCTCCATGTTCCCTCGCGACACTGCCGGTCAGAGGAAATCTCCCTCTGACCAGAAGTTCCGGTATTAGGGGTAAGAATCACTCCACATTTGGGCGAGTATGCAGGGCCGGACTTAGGCCTTTAGGCGCCCTGTGCGAGAAAGCTTTACAGCGCCCCTCAGTGACCACACCCCTCAGTGGCCACACCCTTTAGTGGCCACACCCCCAGTAACCACACCCATTTATCACCCATATTTTTGGTAAAATATAAAAAGTCAGGGTCACGTCAGGTAAATAGACACCAAACATGCCATGCTTTAAAATTGCGCGCACCCGCAAAATCGCAAAAAATTACCATGCCCAAAATTGACCATAGGTGACGCTTTAAAAGCTTTTATCTCTCATCAGTTTAGTGTTATCAGTGATTGATGGCCCTACAATTATTGCTCTCATTCCGAAGTTCACGACGATATGTAACATGTGCGGCGTAATGGGCGAAATCGTAGTTTTCACACGTATGCGCACCCGATGCCTGTTTGCATGCGTGTATGTATGGGGGGGATTGAGGTGGAGTGAAGCCGCCCCAGGACAAGCTGTGTCGGCCGCACGGCGCCCTTGTTGCCATGGTGCCCTGTGCGGCCGCACTGCTCGCACACCCCTAAGGCCGGCCCTGCAAGTATGGATACTCGCCCAAATACGTGGTGTCGGCACCTATACTAATATTGGTGCATCCCTAATTATTATTATCATTTATTTTGTGGGGAGCCTGTCATCAGCCTTCTGCCTTTAATCTGAAAATTGAAGGAGCCAGACAGAATGTTTTCAGCCAATCGGCTGTAGTCATTGTTTGGGTATTCTGACAGCGGCACACCGACCGCTGCAAGAAAACAATAGCCTAGCAGGGGGGATTTTCCCTCATCCACATTGGTTAGTAGTAGAGTAGATGGATGAAACTGTAAGCAGGCCATACATGAGAATTTCAGTATAGTGTCCTTTGATTAAAAGGTCGAATGAGCCGGATGGAAAGTCTTTTGCCGGATGGCAACTAGCAGTATATAATGACAACAGCAAGGGATTCCCCCATCCACGCTTGTAAGAGTGGATGGAGGAATCGGTTCTATCTTCTTGGTTCAGCCTGAAGGTTGAATTAAGAAAATATAACAATGTATGGCCAGCTTTAGATTTTTTCTGTTTTTAAAGGTGGTTTTAGGCAAACAGCTAAATACACATATTAAATACTATTGCTACTATAGTACTAAATACTAAGGTTGCTATTTCATCTGGTAAAGGAATATCTATCCATCCCATTGTAAGATTAAGACAGCTCTGCCATGCCACACAGCTTTGCCTGGCAGGGCAGCAGACCTGACTTATCTCTGCTGCAAATCTACAACACTTAGGCTGGGTTCACACCTAGGCGTATCGAATATGCGCGTTTGTAGCGTGTTTCGTGCCGCGCATTTTTACCGCGATTCGCGGTAAAAAACACGCAACAAGTGCGCGTTTCCGAGGGCTACCTGGCTGTATCCCAATGGATACATGCGGCAAATACGCCCCAAAGAAGCTCCTGTACTTCTTTGGGCGTAGGACGTTTTTTCAGCGCGTTCCTACGCGCTGTAAAACGCCCAGGTGGGAACCATGCCGATAGGCAATCATTGGTTTTCACATGTTGAGCGTTTTACAGAGCGTAGGAACGCGCGGTAAAACGCCCAGGTGTGAACCAGGCCTTACAGGTCTCCTTTCCATCCTGTGACTGGACAGTGATAGGTGAAGCAGAAGACTGATTAAATAAGTAGTGCGAAGAGAGAACAACATACTCTCCCCATTGCTTAAAGCTGGATGTAACGTCGAAAGCTGACCATAGCTCTTGATCTCTACTGTCGATCACTCATACATGGAAGTCAAACCACTGGGGACATAGACACCACACCCCTAATTCAGACATATAACAAAAAAAACCATAAAGATGTGGGGGCTTTTAAGGTGCCACACGTACATAATATTCATTCAGTGGTTTTGTTGTTATATCTCTACTGTCAATCACTACCACAGGGATTCCCCCTCCCCTCTCTGTTCCTACTCCACTCACTGAAGGGACAGACAGCAGAGGGTGTGGGCATAGCTGGCTCTGGCTCTCAGCCATGTGCAGAGAGACATAGAACTGTCAACGAGGCAGCTGGGGTAAATCACTACAATGTTGTGGGGATGCTTCTTGGCTGCGCACTTACAGCATTACCCCGCTATCTGTTGACTTTGGGTCACAGGAGTACATTAGTAAATGTACTCTTGTGACCCAAAAGAGAAGTATAGCCAAAATAGTTTAGGCTTGACTTCTCTTTTCATCTTATCTCCATGTCACTCTGCTCTCTCCTCCTGTCAGCATGCTCATTGCACCCCTGATTGGCTCCTGGTGCTTCTTCTCCCTCCCCAGTATGGGTTCAGCCATACAAGGACTACAAGAGTCTGATACTAAGCCAGGTAATTACACTGCTTGCATCTAAAAATATACTTTTCAGGGTTTATTATTAATTACAGAGCTGCATTAATTTGTTTCTATTATAGCTGCCTGAACTTCAGGCTGTAAGAAAAAATCAGAAGTCTCCCAGGCATGCCGGTTTCTTCCTACACCCCAAAGACATGCTAGTAGGTAAATTGGCTCAACTGAGCACACCCAAGATGGTTGCCTCCCCCTTAAGTGCTCTGAGTGCTCAGGTAGAAAAGCATAAGAAAAATCAAAATTTAAATAAACATAAAATAAATAAAAAACACTGTTATTACGCTTTTACACTTTACTGTATAATAGCCTTCTGAACCACGGTGCCATGGCACCCAGGTGTGCCCTCTGGCTTCCTCAGGGGTGCCTTAACATTTTGTGGTAGTGGGACTGTGATGTAAAGAGGGGAATCAAGATTTATATTTGATGCTCCTAATGTAAAGAGGAACTTTGATGTGAAAGGGGAACTCTGATATGAAAGAGGGGCTTCCAATGTGAAACGGGGGCTCTTGATGTAAAGGGGTAACTCCTGATGTGAAGGGGAGGGAACTCTGATATGAAAGAGGGGCTTCTAATCTGAAAGGGGGGGGTTCCTGGTGGGAAGGGAGGAACTCTGATATAAACGATGAGCTTCTAATGTGAAAGGGGTCTCCTGATGTGAAGAGGGGGAACTCTTATATGAAAGAGGGGGAACTCTGATATGAAAGAGGGGTTTCTAATGTGAAAGGGGGCTCCTGATGTAAAGGAGGAACGCTGATGTGAAAGGAAGGAACTATGTGATGAAAAAGGGGCTTCTAATGTGAAAAGGGGCTTCTGGTGTGAAGGGGTAACTCTGATTTAATGGGGGAGTTTGATATGAAAGAGGGGGCTTCTAATGTGAAGGGGGGCTCCTGATGTGAAAGGGAGCTCTGATGTGAAGGGGGAACTCTGATATGAAAGAGGGGCTTCTAATACAAAAGTGGGCTCCTCGTGTAAAGGGTTAACTTGGACATGAAAGGGGAACTCTGATATGAAAGAGAGGCTTTTAAATGGAAATGGTGGCTCCTGAAGGGGGAACTTTGATGTGAAGGTGGGAACTCTTATATGAAAGATGGGCTTCTAAAACAAAAGGGGGCGCTTTTAAATGTGGATTTCACTTTAATGTGAAGGGGGGCTACTGATGTGAAGGGGGGCTACTGATGTGAAGGGGGGCTACTGATGTGAAGGGGGGCTACAGATGTGAAGGGGAGCTACTGATGTGAAGGGGAGCTACTGATGCAAAGGTTGACTCTGCACAATCTATTACATTTTAGACCCGGGTGCCTTGAGATTTTGTATACTTTTAAAGGGTGCCGTGACTAAAAAAAAAAGGTTGAGAAACACTATGATAGATAACTACTTTTATGTTATTTTTTTTCCGCTGTAACAGCACATCCTTTAATGCAACACTGTATACTTGTACGTATCAATAAAAGAAATCCTGAACCTAAAAGTATAAGCTTTTGTTCCAAGCAAAAAAAAAGGAGGGGGACACTTGAGCAGAAGAATGGTTTTATTATGTCTTCCTCGCTCTCTTGAAAAGGCACTGCTAGCATCAGGCTCGCTTTGACATGGTGTAACAGTAACACAGCACAACACAAGACATGTGAAAGCTGCTTTTTGGCTGCTCTCAGCTAGCCAGCAGAGGCTCTTTTGCTTGCAGCATAGCTGAGGCAGGCTATTTCTTCTTAGAGGAAACACTGCAGCCTTCTGGACTGCGTCTGCCTCTCGAGGGAGAGGCAGGCTGTTGTTCCACCCACAGGCTGGAAGGAGGGGGTTTGAATGAAAGACAAGACAAGCCCTAAACACCATGTCACTCCGTGAGGGAGACAGCAACAACTAGGCTGGAAGGGTTTTTTTCTTTCTTTCTTCCTTTCTTTTTTTCTTTCTTTTTTCCTTTTTTTTTTTTAAACCTAGTAGGGGGGGTTGAGGAGAGAGAAATTGTTGAGAGACACTAAGAACGGAATAAGGCAAAGCCGGTGTGCAGGAATTCAGCTTTCCTGGCTCCTATCGCAGGACTTTATGTTCTCCACAGACTGGATTGTACTACCAAGAAGCTGCTTCACACATAAGCTGGAATAATAAAAAGGGATATACATCTATATAGAGAGATAGAGATAGATACATATACAGGAGGAACAGAAGAAACATTTCTTTGTGGGATTTTGAATTTTTTGGGGGGAAAAAAAGAGAGATCTATTTTTTATTCGCCAATGTTTCTCTGGTCGGTTTGGATTTAAGGTCTTGGTAAAACTAAGGAAAAAGGGGCCAAGGAACTCCTGAAACATCCCAGTCACTATCAGGAATAGTGGAACCTGACAAGGAAGAAGGGCCTGGGGCATTACACCCTGTCAACGAGTTTTCTTCATCAGATAGAAAGATTCCAGCTACATGGGCAAACGCTTGGAACAGCAGCCAATGTACCCCCAGTACACGTACTACTACCCTCATTATCTCCAGACCAAGGTATGAGCAGCTCTGCACTCTCATCTCTCCAGCGGTGCCCATAGTATGTGATGATGATGGATAGGTGCCCGCTTTGACTGACAGTTTGCCTCTTTCTATTTTTTTTGTGAGTTCAGTATCACACAGAGCACAGCTTATACAGTCAAAGCAGGGACACCAGAAAAGCAGGAAGGTCAAGCAATGTGGATTTGTGTTCCATCCCCTCAATCCTTACTCTTCTTTCTTTTTTTTCCTTTCTCCAGTCTCACTATGTTTTATTCTCTATTTAATCCTTTGTTGTCTGTCTCGCGGATTATATTTGGCTTCTATATTAGACTAGAGCTCATGCTTTTTAGTTTTTTTGTCGGTAGCATGTAATTGTGTTGACACAGGATGCAGATTGGCTTGGACAATAAAATGTATACACACTTGGATGGAAATACAGTCTCAGCGGCACTTTAGTGAGATCTGTACAAGCTGGGCAGCTGAAAGCATTATCCAGCTGCAAGGGGATTCTGTGCTGATCAACTTTAAGTGGGCAAAGAACACAGCCAAAAACAGGCAGATAGGTGGCCTTTGTAAGTTTTTAGGTTTTTACAGATAAGGACAACTGTAACAGTATCCGCAAGGAGAATTTAAATCTATGTGTTTTATATAAACGCATTCATTTATTCCCTAGATTTATCTAGCACCAACATATTACGCAGCACATGTACAAAGTAGCTAAAGTAGCTTTCATTTATAGTATATGTACCCAAACACTTATTTATACTCTTTAAATAGCCATCTACCTATCTATCTATCTATCTATCTATCTATCTATCTATCTATCTATCTATCTATCTATCTATCTATCTATCTATCTATCTAGCTATCTAGCTATCTACGGTACCAAATCTAATGCATCCCTAAATGTCACAGGTTATGCCAAAATCTAAGTCATTCAGCAATCTGTATGCATTTGCCATCAGATAGTTTTCTGTTAAAAATCCACAGATTGTCAGATATGTTGCCAATTTTCCCTTAACTGCTTAGTCAGGCGTTCTGGGAGAGCATACTACTTTGCCCTAAATATTTTACATTGTAGAATGAACTTAACTGATTAGACACTATGGCAGTCTCTTCCCTTCCATTGTTTGCAATGTCAAGGTCAATTTCAGATGCAGTTGTACATTTTAAGGATCCTTTTCAAGGAAGCAGAATCATCTCTTTGTCTTGCTGCTAGAAATGATATTTATTGTCACTTGTAGTAAAAGAATGATAGGGCTGGTGATGTAGAAGGAGCATGTTTTTTGAGTTTATGTCTTGAGTAGCATGCTGTTCTTTCAAAAGCAAAGTAAAGCCAGGTGATACGGAATGCAGTGAATCTGCATACAGTTGCAAATCTGGTCTAGATTTTATCTTCTTTTATTTTGCGATCCACGGAAGTCTACAGCATGATCTGAACCGTAAAGAAAGTGTGATCGCTATTAAAGAAAAATGTAAAAGATGTTTTGTTAAAGTGTCTGAAGAATAGCATAAGCCATCACAGACAAGCCGCATCTGGATCTTGTTACATTAACATGCTCTAAGTTTGGAGGGCATTTGGTTTCAGTCATCAGTATGCTGTGGGGATAAGCTTAAAATTGATATGGGAAAACCCTACGAAGGTGGAAGCTCTGGCCACTGCTGGATACATTGCTAGCACACATAAGCTGCCATGGCCTGATGAGCAATAATTGCTCAGTAATGTTCACCCAGACACAATACTCATTAATTAATTATTGCCACCTTCCTCCAACTTGGATCTCCACATGGCTTGTGTGCCACCCACATCACTGTTTTCAGTGTAACAGTGTTAGGCTGACTGTGAAAGGAAGGAAATGAAACATAAATGGGGTAACAGCGCTTTTAAGTGTACTTTCCTTTTTCGGAGGAGGCAGTATGTTGTGTGATCTGAACCAATATTCACATAGTCAGGTTAGTGCATATTACTTACTGGGTAGAATATATGAGTGTAAGATATGCACCAAAATTTTCAAACATGGAATTGTTTAAGCTTCCTCCTTTTATTTTCTATCTTAGGCTAGCAACAAGATGGCATCTAGTCGCTATGGGCAACATAGTTCTTTTTTTCCGACACTTTCACATGTGATACCCATTCAGTCAACTGAGAAAACAGCCACTGAAGAGATTAGTATATAGTCAAATGAATTCCTAATTAATTAAACTTATTTTTTACCTCTATTACTCATTAATTAATTTAGTATATGCCCTCACTGTTCACCGAATGGGGTAACGTGGTAGCTTATCTCTCCAAAGCTTTATTTAAAAAAAAAAAAAAGATGTGCTGTACTTTACCAATGTAAATTATTAATTATAGCCATTAAGAGCTGTGTAGCATTATATTCCAACTCTGTTTCGATGGTGAGCCTATAATGTTTTGAACTTAAAGGAAAAGTACTTATATAAAGGGAATATCTGATAACTAAAATGCAAACATTCCTTTACAGACACTGAAGGGATGGCAGAAAAAGGAAGGGGGGGGGGGGGGTTTAAAAACCTTGCCCTGGGT